AAGGAAGGAAGGAAGGAAGGAAGGAAGGAAGGAAGGAAGGAAGGAAGGAAGGAAGATAATATTGATTATGATAGTAATAGTAGCATGTAATTATTGTATTATTTTATTCTGGTCCATGCTAAAGCTCATAACTATAAAGCCCAAACCATGTTGACATCTTTATTTTTGCCCATGTGGCACCACTGGCTTATATCCACCAAGTATGACCTGGAGATACCATTCAGAAGCCCAGTCATATTTGCATGCTGTACTGCAAACCTACAATAATAATAGCATACAAATGATGCACATGTCTTTGTTCATGCAGAGTCAAGTGAACATGAAGAGAAGAGTACAGGTGTCTCAGGTGAAACTTCATCTCAGCCTTATCCTGCTCCCGTTTATAGCCAACCGGAAGAAGTAAAAGAAGATATGGATGTAACAAAGCAGCCAAAACTTGAAGAAAACAATGAACTGGGCCCATTGCCTGATAATTGGGAAATGGCTTACACAGAGAAAGGGGAAGTCTACTTTATTGAGTAAGTACTACCCTTTGGAAAGAGAGGTAATGGTAGTAATTCCCTCCTATATGCTGAAAAGGTCCCTCTGAATTCAGTGGGATTTAGTCCTAAGAATGATATAATTCAGGTGTTCTACTGATACAGCCAGACACAAGTAAGATATGATGAGAGTTCCTTTGGACCACACAGCTTATTAATTTATATTATTTAAATTTTAGCATTACTATATAGGCTAGTATACTCTTAAACCATTTATGTAGAGTTGAAACATTATTTAGCAGCAAGGAATATGAGGCAGTGAGCATGAGGAAGTTCTCTCCTGTAGGCCTTATTAAGATGAATGCTCTTGTGCTGCTTATATAAAAGATGCAAAGACTTACCAGGTGTCAACTATAAAGTAAAAATGGAAATCAAATCCTTTTTTTCCATGTTTATGTATATGTATGTGTTCATGTGCATATGTCTATGCACATACAGTATACTGTATACTGCTTGCTTGCTTACTACTGTAATTGTTGATTCAGGTGACTGTTATGCAAACAGCTAAGTATAAGGATCTCCATTATCCATGAAAAGAAAAAAAAATCTGCCCTAATGTATGCAAGGATAAAATAGGTATAAGTGAGAAAGACTTTAGTCGCTGAAGTTTTTGCAACCCCATCCTATTCCTCTCAATAAATCTTGTTGAAGAAAAGTCTATTAGAATTCTGCTTAGAAGTATCACTTCTGGTTTTAGGCACCTGCTGAACTGCCTGACCATGATCATGAAATGTGGAAATGTCATCTCCCCCAATCTTTGTTGGCTTGTGGAACATTTACTTTTTTCATGTTTTCCATACTTTGGCATGATAATGGAAGTTCCATTAAATTGACTCTTTGTTTACGTGCTTGTGTGCTCACGTCATGAGAAGGCACTGCTGGCTTTGGCAAATGAATGAAATCAAAAATTTGTTTAACACCTTCCCTGAGGAGAATTATAGTATAAGATCATTCAGTGATAAACGAAAAGCAGGTATTGCCATGGGTAAATCTTAAACTGAAAAATGTGAAGCTTATAAAATGCATGGTTTGAGATAACACGGTAGAGCTGTGCGTAGCATTTGAAAGAGGTGCTTTGCAAAGTCCCAAATACCCTCATGTTTGTGCCCATGCAAAGGGGATTCTTTTGCTGGGATTGTTGGTGAAGCCAATTAACTATATGTACAGAGATGTGGAGACAGGTAGGGACACTCTGGAATCAGCCATCTGTGCCTGGCAGAGAATGTTCCTCATCCAGATACATTACATAGTCATATTAAATAGTAATAGAGGTTAAATTGCAAATACTTCAAGGGAACGTGTTCTCCCCTTTCTAATACACTTCATCAGTTTCATGGCATTCTGTTCATTGTTTCTATTTTATACCCCTGGCCCCTATCCAAGGATCAGCTGAATGTGCATTCGTCTTACCCAAATAAATGCATAATAGCACCCGCAATTTTCCTGCAGATTTCCCAAGAGCACATAAAGTGTCTGGTGCAAAAATAATTGGATCACTCTAATTCCACTCGATCAAATAAAAAGAGATCGCACTTTCTGAAAGGTTGCATAGGATTTGTTTGCTGGTAGGCAGCATTGCCCACCGTGAAGCTCTGACTTCTACTAGTTTATTGTTGGTTAAATGTCACGAGGAATACAAAATCACTTTTGTCTTTGTTTTCATCATTTTCATTTGAACCCACATGCTTTCCATGAACAGCCGTTTGGTGGGGGAAAATTCTCATTCAACAGTTTAATCAAAGCAATACAAAATACATTTTTTTACAATGGTGCAAGATTTATCATCATTACAAGGGTGTATCTAATATCTACATTCTCCTATCCGCAGACTCATTTTTCCCTTTCCAAGGTATTTCTTCTTGAAACCTATTTTAATACACAACTCAAACAGTAATCCATTTGCAATAATTAGGAGAGTTACTTGCAGGCTAACACAAAGGCCCAGTTCTGTTATAACAGAAAAATGTGTTGCCTTTTGTTTTACATGGAGCTGCCTGTGAGCTCTTGGGGTTGAGCACACCTTTCCCCTTTCTTTTTTTCTATACCATAGGAGAAAATCAAAACCTTCTGTTTTTAATTTTGAATTGGTCATGCTTCCATGTAAGGTTTATTTTTATTTAGGGTTTATGCCTTGAGATTAAGTGTAATCACATCCATCCAGTCTGGAGAAAATCTTAATCCATCTTCATCTTGTAGGCAGTCAAGAAATGCTATAACATCTATGGGCAGATTCTGTTGAAGAAAGTAGGGTGGCTGCTGTAAGAAAATTAGAAACCCTCCAGATCAAGTAGCAGCTTTTTCTACACAGTTTTCGAAAATCCCCTCCACCTATTTAGGAATTCTTCCTTTTCTCTCCCCCATCCCCAATTGAACATTATGTCAACTCCATTCAGATAGTTGGGTTGCCATTGGGGAAGGGAAAGTCAAGTCAATCCACCATTCAGGTTGATGTGCTTGAATCTGGATCCAGCCAAATAGTTCATTCAGGTAGCATGTAGTTTGGCCCTAGATCACATAGTACCAAAGGAAGTCTAGGGAAAAGCTTCAGTACTGGATAAATAACGAAGACCTTAAGCAGTCTTTTATTCATTGAGTTTCTGCAGGCTCTGTCAGAAGCTAAATAAAAAAATATGGAGACATCAAATTGGGTGCGGTGGCTCCATGCTGGAAAGTCAAAAAATAGATCTTTTCATTCCTCTTCCACTAGAATCCTATCCTGCTTCATTCCTGCATTCCTTAATTCATTCTCCCTTGCAACTCATCCCAACCAAAGACTCTGGGTGATACCCACCAAAGCACTCATATAAAAAAACAATAACTTAAAACTAACCAGCCCAGCCCAGAATTATTCTTCATAACAATTAAACAGGGTTAGAAGCTTAATGGAATAAAGTTGCTTTAACCACTTAATAGAATGGCAGGAGGGAAAGTACAGCACAAGCATCTTGGGAAGGAAATTCCCAAATTTGGCGATTGTGACAGAAAAAGCCTGCCATCTAACTCATCTCTCACTTTCTTCTCATAGGATGAGGAATTCTCAGCTTTCACATCAGATAGGCAGATTCCATCTTGGCAAGGAAGGGCCTGATATATTCCAGGACTATGCCATATAGGGCTTTGGAGATTATAACAAGCTCTTTGAATTAGGCCCAGAAGCCTGCTGGCTACTAGTACATCAATTTCAAAACCATTATCATGAAATGGCAGGCCTGACCTTCTAGTAGTCTAGCTGTTCATTCTGGGCCTGTTCATCTCCAAAGGCTGCCTTGGGTAGATTGTGTTACAGTAATCCAACAATATGGTGATCAAAGCATATGTTACCATCTCTAATGTATCAAAGCTGGGGAAAGGCCCTCCTGGCCACAGCTCTTCTTCCTATTTAAGCAGTAGCTACAAACCCAAGAGGAATCATAAACCAGCTTCTTCAGGTTCCATCAAAAGTAACTACTGGGATCAATTTTGCCAGTTGTTTATTGATATAAACATCTGGTTGGAGTGCTCTGGATTCCTTTAATCAAGCAGGACCATCTACCAGGACTCCAGAAGTGTGTGTTCTTTGTCTTAGCCCTTGCCCTCTGGAATGAGATTCTCCCTGAGATCTGAGTGGCTCTTAAATTCAGTTTTATTGGGTTTAATTTTTTAATCCCTTTAACTTCTGCTTTTCTGTCGTTTTAACTGTCCATTCCTTCTAATGCATGTCAAATATAATGTTTATAATAGTTTATATTTGCAGACCCACTTATCAAACATCTTAGTAAATATTTATTCAGAATAACTTTAAGTAATTGAAATAGTCTAAACTCTTGCTGTATTACAAATGATGTATAAGATAAAGCTTTTGCCTCATTTTCCTTACATCAAATGGAAACCATTATTTGAGCACAATGTTTGGGAGGAATGCTACCACAATTAACTGGTTTCCAGTGTAAGTTTTGATGAAAACTCTGCATTAAGTGAATTATCCATGGGTTTACAGTTTACTGTTATGCTGGAGCAACGATGGACTAAGGCTTCATGTTTATCTTTTACCAGCCTCCAAAGCCTGAGAGGGTGTGTCTAGCAATGCAGTGGAATCACCAGAAATGATGAAATCGTCAGAGCTAGACATTTTTATGCCATATCGTCATGAAGACTACCAGCCATATTGATCAAAGCACATTTCTGAGATTTTTGAGGCAACAGCCTTTAGCGGGGGAAAATTTAGGAGAGTCTCTGAATTGTGTCTGTTCATTATTTACAGAATATTCATGATTTATGTTATGTATAATTAACACCAGTAAGAAAATTCAGAGGCAGCCAGTTTGATGCAACAGTTAAGGCGACAGACTAGAAACAAGGAACCCATGAGGACTAGTGAGTTTTAGTCCTGCCTTAGACATGAAGCCAGCTGGGTTACCTAGGCCAGTTACCCTCTCTCAGCCCTAGGAAGCAGACAATGGCAAACCAACAGCCTGCTCTTCCACATACCTCATCCCTTTTGATAATAATTTTAAAAAATCAACAGTGGTGTCCACCTTTCCTGTACTACCTGGGCACGATCCTGTACTACCTGGGCACGATCACTTTAAGTATGGGATTCAATGAATACTGCATTCAAGCAAGGGTGATAGGAGGGCATAGATAGTGGAAGCCTTCCTTTGATTAGAGACACAAGGTTTGAATGTGGCCTGACATCTGAATGCATTCCTTGTAGAATTCCAGTTTGTCCTCATTCTCTCTGCTTTAAGGAACAGTATCAAGGTGAATGCTTTTAAATTCATCTTTTTAAAGTATTGTGTCGCTTTGAATGTTTTGATCAAATAATGATTTGATTGTAGAATTGCTTTGGGGCACAATGATGATGATTCCCTATCTTGGTTATTTGAAAATACATAACAGTATTATAAATGATTGAACAGTAATGATAATCATTCTCTTTTCCCATAGAGTTTTAAAATTGGGAAGTGCATTAGAGATGTTCAATAAATAATTCTAAGTGCTCTAACCAGCTCCTGGGATTTCATGAAAGAAGATACCATAAGTTCAGGTTTTGTTTTGTTTACTTCTCTGATTGTAGCAACAGCCCTCTAATAAAATAAATATATTCTTTCCAAGCTAATTACTGCATTTAGTTATGGAGTTTTACTGAATGTTTCTCTGGTGATGAGACCAACTGGATTCTTGGCTGACCAAATGGTAGCTAGCTAGGAAATAAAAAGTTAACGGCACTGAAATAATCCTCTCATTTTGGGTTCTCCTCTTGTCTTTTTCCATTTATCTTCTCTGCCAATGATAATTTGCCTTGAGTGAATGCTTTGAATGGATTGACTTGAATGACTGCATGGATGACATAAAGGCCTTCAATGACTTGGTGAGCAGAAGGTGACATTTAGAAAATAATTCTTGGTTTTCCTATTTTGGGAGTTTGCAGTAATTGAAGTTTGAGCACTGATAAAGGTTAAATTTAAAAAGCACAGTCTGGAATTAGAATGCAGGTGAGTGCAATGAGACGCTATAAGGTTATAAGTGCTTATGCGGCTCTTTGCTGTAGAAGAAATGTCTTACCTTTTTTTCAGCAGGGAGCTTTGTGTGTGTCTATGTTTGGGAGGGAGTCGATCATGGATGACCATGCAGTATTATGGATTGTACATGGGTAAAAATATTGGAAACCCTTTTTTTTTTTTTTCCAAATTTTATTGGAAATCTCTCTTATTCTAATTTGGAGAATCCAGCCTTTACATTCCCAGTGGTAGGATTAAAAAAAAACCCTTCTAAAACCTAAACATAAAAACAATCCTGCGATATATATATCACTTGATTCCTTATGGTAGCCTAAGCCCCATTTTCTGTCATCAGGTGACTCCCAAAAAGATGCACCTTTTAAAAAAAATGCAAATGAGATAAAGCAGATAATTTACTTTGTAATGGTTTTAAACATTATATGCAAGTATATTTACTATATGGCGACTTATATTTAAGTAAATAGAGTTATGGTATCTAATAGGGATAGAGAACTTGTGGATCATTACATGTTGCTGAGTTTCTACTATCCGAAATTCCAGACAACATCAAAGTGATCCTGATGGGTCAGCCCCAACTGGAGCTGATGTAAATTAGATTTATGATTAGTTGCTTTGAAATCCTGAAGAAAGTTTATGGGGACATCATAATGCGACTCCTAGCTTGTACAGAAGCAAGGCAGATACCATTTTTCCTAAAAGAACTTCTCTGCTGCATAAGGTGAGGCTGAAAGCAGGCGTGCCTGCAGAAGAAAGACATGGTTGGAACAACATGGGTTATGCAGAACATTCAGGTAGTTAACGCTCTGCATTTGTAATACCTGTATAGGACTAACAATATGACCTTTAATCAAGGTTTTATCCTTGTGCCTTTCAGACATGATAGATTTTTTTAAATGGAGAGATTATTATCATTGTTCAAGCATTCCATTCTGTATGTCTAGAATGGTTCAAAGAATTTATCCTCACAAGGTAAAATCAGTTCCTGACAATTAAGAAGATAATGGAGATCAGGATATATAACTTTCCTGCATCTTTTGAAATGCAAACATTTCTTATGAAACAGAATTAATGTCCAGGCTCATTCAGGCTGTCCTACTGAAATCCAGGCTACTTCAATGAATCATAGTTAAAGCAAGTTTCACTTTTTGGGAGGGGTGGATTTGCTCTAATCATAGCTAACCCTGAACTCAACCCTGTGCATTTTTTTCCATTCCCAAATTCAGCAGTTTGGATTTTATTTCAAATTCTAGACTAGAAATTGCAAAAGACAAAGTGTAACCTATTGGTCTACTTCAAAGTCAAAAGAGAAGGTACCGTCAAAATTAAAATCTGTGTGACATCCTCTGTGTCACACTGCTCCTGGCATGAAAAGCAATCAATAGTATCAACGTGTTTGGACTTTTTACGGGCTATTTGATCCTTTATTAAAAGAAAAAGACTTAGATGAATGGTAGGTAGTCAACAAATGGTGGATAAATAAAAACTTTAATAATTCATTCTTAGGTGAACAATTCAAGTGAGTGGCCCCTTAGGATGTCTTTAATAAATAAAAAGTGCATTACCAAAGAGTTTTATTGGATGTATGAAGAGGGAAAGAAGATATGTGTTACACAAAATCTGTCTTTTAAAATTGGAAGGAATGAATTGTATCCAACAGTGGCTTTGTGCTAAGGAAAAGTGCTTTTCTTGCATAAGTTTGAACACCCAATTCTCCGAATTCTTCCAACCTTTGTAGCTTACCACATCATATCCAGTTTGAAGAATCACATTTTGGGGGATCCCTAGAGATAAGCAATACAGGATGGTGAATAGTTTAGTCTCTCTTCCATGTAAGAACTGAAGTGCTTCCTGCTTCCACAAAGCCATCACTGGATACAGTCTAATAGCCATTTCTCTGCCTTGTTTACAATCCTAAAAGTAGTCATTCTTTTTTTTTTTTTAGCTGTCCTTACATTCACTTGGCTGTGAAAAGGATGTGTGTTTCTAAACAGTTTGACATGTAACTTTATTTATATGTTGTTGTTGTTTTGTCTATTTATCTGCAAAGCTGCTCTCTTTGTGTAACCATCTTATACGAGTCCAGAATTTGTTTCATTGGTTATTCAAGGGTGGGGTGGGGGGCTGCTATTTTAGGTTCAGTCAAATGAACCATGTGATTCTTTTCACCATCCGCAAAATATACTTTTATCAACAGAGCTGAATGAAATACGGAATAGATAACAGTTGCTAAAACAGAGGGTCATTAATCATTGACTTAGGAAAACAGAAGCTGTAACAACAACAGTTTGCATCTCTTTCTGTCACTGTGGCTATTCAGAAATTATATGTACAAGATTGTTTTCTTTAGAATTAAAACAAATTCTGTAGCCCAATGCCAGCAAATGAGCACAGAAGGCTGTTGACTGCACCCCTATTTTGTTGGAGAATGCTGTAAATTCCTTTTGCCCTAGATGAGTTCTGCATGTTCAATTAGGTTAGCTTGGCAACAATTCTAGTTGTGTTTAATAAAAATAGCTGCTTTGAGGACAAGGAGCTGAGGCTGCCAAAATTAGAGGCTGCTTTGCACAATTACTCTTACACCTCCTCCAGGTCTACTTAGAACCAGTAAGCAAATAAATATATTGATTGCAATTTTGTGCAGCTAACCTCTTCCCCTTCCCCTTCCCCTACTCCTTCCCACCCCCCACCCCCCTTTTCAACTGGTATCGGAAGGAATAAACGTGATTCCATTTAGTATGTGTCTGATCAGGGTGATCTCTTTTCTTTTCAGCCATAACACAAAGACTACATCATGGCTGGATCCACGACTGGCGAAAAAGGCTAAACCTCCAGAAGAGTGCAAAGAAAATGGTAGGCTATTAACTTTTCATTGCTGCTGGGAAAAAAAAAAATCTGTGAGGGGGAGAGAATGAAGTTTTCAGTGTCTCTGGGTTGTTAACAAGAGAAAATATTTAGGGAGTGAGGAAAAGGAAAGTTTAGCTGGGGCTGGGATTCTGCATTTTGCTCTGGTTTTAGTGGGCTTGTATTTCCAGTCCCCAGTCTGTAATATTCCAGTCTAAGAATAACAAATGCGAGTCCCCGGTGCTGGGATTTTGGCTTGGAAGCTGATTTTAATTCCCGTCTTGGGCTGTAGAGAGTACTGAGATTCGTAGCTTTGAAATCTCTGCAATGTGAAGTGTATGGGGCAATGGTTGCACAGCTGGAGGATGAATATTATGATGGGCTTGTTTTGTAAAGGGAAGTTCTCTTCCAGTTTAGCAGTAGCCTGTTTAAAATAAAAGCACGAAGAGGGAAAGGGAATAAAGAGGGGAGGGAAGCTATCTCTTCTTAAAGGGATATTATGATCCTGTTGGAATCGTGTATATCTATGGAAGCTCATTGCATTATTATCCTCTTTCTGAACACATTATTAAAATCCTGCTGGTTAGCCCACTGAGCAGCGCTGCCGTTGCTATAATGGAAATCGTACAGATGGACGGGTGCTTTACAAGCAGTCCTTCTTTCAGATTTTTCCAGTGCAGGAAATACACACACAAAATGGGCTGGTCGAGGCAAATTGGCTGCTAGAGAGACATTTTTCAGTAATTTGCTTTTTGCTGGGGTTTTCTAAATCAAGCACTGCTTATTACTCAAAATACTAGGAAGGCAACTTGTGAAATATAGAATTCATAGAAAACTGAAGATGAAGTATAAACCAGCCATCGTCTGATAATCAAGGGGTGGAACATTTCCCAGAACTCTTCATTCATTTTCTACATAAATATCTCAGAGAGCAACAGATTGAAATACCTTGGTGACACATAGTTGTTTCTAACATTTATCTACTCTACTTCTTCTTCCTATAGATTTGGATCCTATCTTCAGTAGCTATAAATCACACTTGCTTTCTGTCTTCTTTATGGCAGCTTATTAGATGGTTGAAAATATCACATCTGTCATTAACATTATTTTACAAGGAAGAATTTGCACAATCATTTTATATGCAAAAACTAAGCCATAATGAGGTGTCAGATCAGGACTGATGTTGGAAACCAAGGTAGAAAATATAATTTCACTTCAGCCTTTTACAATACTCATGTACATTCTTCCTAATTTATATGAAGTCTTCCTTTAACTTTTCAGCTTCCAGCAGGACTTCCAAATATTTTTTGAAAAAATTCTGGTTATGATTTTGGAATTCCTTTCAATATCTGGAAAGTCCACTGGAGTTGGGCGGCCAATAACATTAAATAAATAAATAATCTGTGCCTATTAAAACATGAATGAATGTATGCTACTAAAATTACACTCAACCTAAGAATCAGCTCATGGATTGCTGAGTGTTGTCATAACTACCAATATTTTATAAGCAATGTTTCTTGCTTGTAACACTTCACTTTTCTACAGCTTAGCCACAAGACCATGACCCAACAGTAGTAATGTTACTGCTGGTACTCTGTATAGGTATATCTGAAAGTTTCTTATTGCATATATTTGATGGACAATTGTATATAAAATTCTATTTTAAAAAAAAAACACCTCTCCCATTAAAATAATAATCGATCCCTTCCTCCCAAAATCATGCACTGTTCAGATGTATAGATGTTTTCCTTTCTATTCTTTTTCACACACAGATATTGACTCAAAAAAACCACATTTCAAATTGCCTATCTTGAGAGAAAATGCATATTCAAATGCTGGCTGGTGTGGGTCTTCCGGGCTGTGTGGCCGTGGTCTTGAAGTTTTGTTTCCTAACGT